CCACGCACGCGCTTCCATCTGGCTCAACATACTCAGAGTTGACTGAACTTTACCAGACTGGACTTTCCTTAATAAATGATAAAGCGCTTGAATTCTCCTACAGCCCATTATATTCATTTTAAATAGGAAGGCTATATTTAATAAGCTGTAACCTGACAGGACTAAATGCTGGTGGCAATCGGCTACCTGATTATGAAAATAGGTATAGATCAAATATAAGACACAGCTTACTCATGAACCTGTGATTGCAAAGTCACAGTCATGCCCAGGAGCCTAGATTAGCCTATTAATTTATTTATTCAGCAGTGGAAAATGTGTCAATGGGTTCAAACTCATTGTAAAGGTTTCAAGTCTATTTTACATTAATAAAATCTTAAAAATTTCGTATCTTGTTAATGCTGTCAAAACACATTCAGAATATATGCAGCTAATAATGAAAACCTCACTTAAAACTACATTTAAGCCTATTTGTTTCAGCTGCACCACAGTCATCCTCACGCAAAATATTCACATTATCTCCAGTATGATAACAAAGATAGGAATGTTCCAAACAATGCGACTGTAATATGAACGATTACTGTTGATTGATCAGTTTTCTAGGTTACAGAAACTGTTTAAACAGTGATTACTGCAGTAATGTAGCCCACAGTATCCCAAGTGTTTTCAGTGCAACTGTCAAAGCGTTATACCTAAAGACGGACATGCAGACGTAAATGCGTTCAGATATGTGTTTTGATATTGACAGAATGAATGAGGAAATGAAACGGTCAGACAGCTGCCTCAAGCTCTGCAGGAGGGGAGGAGTTAGAGAGAAACTGACGGTTTTTCAGCGTCAATTGCCGGAGTTACTGATCTAGGGATTATCTGATCTCGCTCTCTGAAACAGAAAACCCAGAGTTTCCCTCATCTCAGGCTAATCACTAATCCTGCCTTCTGAAACGGGGCCCTGGTCACAGAATCTCATCCACATCACAAGAGATATCTTCATCAATTCAGGACATGTTTAAAAAAAAAAAAAAAAAAGATCTAATAGACATGTATAGAAAATATGCTTGACATATTATGACAATGTGTTCAACCATTTTGCATGTAGTGACTTATGCAATTAACTTAGTTAACTTCCAAAGTTAGCTTCTGATTAAGCAGTTAAGAGGAAAGTTAACTTGCTGAGCGACTGATCCTCCATTTTTTGCACCTCTTACTGTTGTGAAAGCCTTAATGCTCTTAAGCTATCAGTGTTTCCCCTATATGCAGTCAGGAGCTGCGGTGCGCCACTGCTGAATCCTAACCACCGCTAATAAAATTTCCCACAATCATTAATCTATGCGCTACAAGTGTTTTCACTCGCACACTGTGCAAAACTACAACACTCAATGCTTGGCTAGCTTCCTCTCCTCGATCTATGCAGAACATCTACGTGACAGGTGCTGTTATAAGAGCAGCATAACTCCTGTAAGGAATTGGGAGGTGCGTAGCGAGCGTTTGATTGTCCGAGTGGCGGAAAGTGGCGGTGAACGTGAGCGGAGGACAATATTTTGGTAGTAAATGTACTGTGTCGTTAACAGTGTGTCAGCTTCTAAAGACCAAGAAAAGTCTGTCTGTTTTCCAACCTGGAAAAGTGAAGCCTGTTAGCGCTAGCAAACATCTTCCCTCCCCTTCAGACTGCGCAGCTGAGCAGGAAGACTTATACAGCAGGCTGTGTCTTTTGGCTGCTATGTAAATAAAAATTAGCTTAATTTATAGAAAGTAACTTGTAGATGTATTTTATTACTGCCTACTTGTCCGATGTTGAGAACATCATTTACAAACTGAGAGTAAACCGGCATAGCCTACAGCTCTGACCTGTACAGACTGATTAAATTATTTTTCAGTTTTCAGGTGAGTCAGAAAAAGTGGTTGTTAAATAATGGCCAAATATGATGTGAAATTGCATATTTGTCATTTCTTGGGGGAGGACCCCCAACCATGACCACCATGACCAACAACAAAACTATGGGAAAACTCATGTAAAGAGCAATGTTGTGTTGGGGTTTTATATTGAGGACAAAAATTTTGCTTCACCTCCGCTGCTACAACTCCATCCTTGGTGAAACACTGGCTATGCGTTTGACTTTGACTGACAGTAATGTAGGAATAGGAAAAAGAGGACATAGAAAGAAAGGGAAAGATATTTACAGAATGTAATGAGGGACAGACAGTAAGACGAAAAGGAAATTCCGACAAACATGGAAGTTTTAGTAGCGCCATAGGTACTTAAAACAATATTAATGCAGTGGGGTGAACAAGTATTTTATACACTGCTGATTTTGCAGGTTTTCCTACTTACACAGCATGTAGAGGTCTGTAATCTATTCTATCATAGGTACACTTCAACTGTAAGAAATGGAATCTAAAACAAAAATCCAGAAAATCACATTGTATGATTTTTAAATAATTAATTTGCATTTTATTGCATGACGTAAGTATTTGATCACCTACCAACCAGAAAGAATTCCAGCTCTCACAGACCTGTTAGTTCTCCTTTAAGAAGCCCTCCTGTTCTCCACTCATTACCTGTATTAACTGCACCTGTTTGAACTTGTTACCTGTATAAAAGAGACCTGTCCACACTCAATCAAACAGACTCCAATGTTGCCACAATGGCCAAGACTAGAGAGCTGTGTAAGGACATCAGGGATAAAATTGTAGACCTGCACAAGGCTGGGATGGGCTACAGGACAATAGGCAAGCAGCTTGGTGAGAAGGCAACTGTCAATCTCCCTCGGTCTGGGGCTCCATGCAAGATCTGACCTCGTGGGGCATCAATGATCATGAGGAAGGTGAGGGATCAGTGACCTGAAGAGAGCTTGGACCACAGTCTCAAAGAAAACCATTAGTAACCCACTACGCCGTCATGGATTAAAATCCTGCAGCTCACACAAGGTCCCCCTGCTCAAGCCAGCGCATGTCCAGGCCCGTCTGAAGTTTGCCAATGACCATCTGGATGATCAAGAGGAGAAATGGGAGAAGGTCATGTGGTCTGATGAGACAAAAATAGAGCTTTATGGTCTAAACTCCACACGCTGTGTTTGGAGGAAGAAGAAGGATGAGTACAACCCCAAGAACACCATCCCAACCGTGAAGCATGGAGGTGGAAACTCATTCTTTGGGGATGCTTTTCTGCAAAGGGGACAGGAAGACTGCACCGTATTGAGGGGAGGATGGATGGGGCCTTGTATTGCGAGATCTTTGCCAACAACCTCCTTCCCTTAGTAAGAGCATTGAAGAGTTGTTGTGGCTGGGTCTTCCAGCATGACAAAGACCCGAAACAAACCGCCAGGGCAACTAAGGAGTGGCTCCGTAAGAAGCATCTCAAGGTCCTGGAGTGGCCTAGCCAGTCTCTAAACAACTAGCCAGCCAGCCCCGAAACCTGAAGGATCTGGAGAAGGTCTGTATGGAGGAGTGGGCCCTGCTGCAGTGTATGCAAACCTGGTCAAGAACTACAGGAAATGTATGATCTCTGTATTTGCAAGCAAAGGTTTCTGTACAAAATTTTAAGTTCTGCTTTTCTGATGTATCAAATACTTATGTCATGCAATAAAATGCGAATTAAGTAGCAGTCATTACATTGGTAATGCAACCAAAAGTTGTAGCAGTACTTTCTAGCAATAGTGACTTTTGAGATACAACACACAGTGTGGCAAATGACTAGGCTACTGTACAGGTGTACAGTATAGTCTTTGTAATATGGGGTACTGGCAAAGGTAGGTACACAATAAGGATAACTGGTGGGCAGGAGAAGAAGAGGAGGCTCTGAAATGATGGCAGATGTTAGAGGACAGATAAACAAGATGAATTAAATGACTTCTCAGTGTAATGTTAATTGTGACTGGGAACTGACAAAGATTTATATAAAGATCATATGAAGACCAAGGACAATAATTGCTAAATTATGGTGCTTCTCACACAGGCTACGGTCCAGGCTTTGGCAACAGTAAGGAAAATAACATTGGCAGAAGCAGAGAAACAGGTTGAACAGGGCCAGTTAGAGGAAAGGAAGAATTTTAATACTAAATTCAGCAACTGACCAATCTATGAAGGTGTTTTGATGGTTTTTCAAAAGTTAAAAATAACTTTAAAAATGTTTCAAGTGAGAAAGAAAAACTCTACATGTCACTCGCCTATGAAATGGATAGACTTGGACTTATACAGTACAACAAAGGCCATGTGGGAAAAACTGTTCAGGAAAATGTAAAATTTTAACAAATACTGTGATCCCAAGAGACTCTGGCTACTTTCACATATTTGACAGGTCTAGGCATTGTACTTTTTGATTTGAGAAATTTCAATTCTGATCTGAGAAATGTATCAAAGCAAATGAGAAAAACTGTAAATAGATTTTTGGAACAGGGAGATGGAATTGGGTCTTGCTCCGTTGACACCATGCATCAACTTGTGCAAATAAACTTTGAGGAAATATCCCTGTGCATGCAGGTGTGTGAAAAGCATTAAACCGTACATTGAAGTCAGGGTTGTATGAGTAAGGCTGTTATTCATATGGTGAAATAAATGTAATCCATATGTTACTGATGATCTGGTACTTTGGAGGTCATGTGACAATTGAATGATTTACCTACAGAAAAGATTTCCATCAAATGAAAAGGCAGCAAAAAGAGGCAACAGTTATTCAGTTATACTTTCCAGCTGTATTTACCTGATTTTACCTCTTCAGTTATAGTCAAAATTTCACTTAGTGGGTTTTTTAATCATATATTCTTACGAGACAGTAGGCATCTTTTAAAGTGACTGTCACAGGCAAAAAGTAAGTAAAAGAAAACAGAAGTGCTTCTCTGCAAGAATTTCTGCATTTTCATAGCAGTGTGGTGAATCTTTGAAATTCTATTTAGATTATGTAGAAAAACATTTACAGAAAACAATTTTCTAAGTGTTTAGTCTAAACATCAAAGAATGTGGACTTATTTCTGTCCTGAACACAAGGTTAATTTATCTCTTCGTCCTGATTATATTCTTCAATCATTTATTAAAAAGTAAGAACATGGCATTTATTACATTCATCAAACCTACATTAAGTGATATTTCTGGGTTAAACACTTAACAAATTGGTTATTTTGGTTCTCTGGTTGTCACTGCTGTTCAACTCCATGAATACATTTGACAAATTGTATAATGAACACAATTAAAAGACAAATTGAGCCAACACACACACTGTGCAACCAAGGAGCAAAATGTGCTTTTTTTTTTTTTATTAATTTTTTAACATCAATGTAACAAAAATCGGACAATAGCTCCATTTCAGTCTGTAGTTAAAACATTACAAACCAGGTTCATATTAAGCCAAACTCGTAAACAGTCCAAAGTCCAACAACAAAGAGTCATTTGAAAAAGTTTAGTGTTATTTTTGTGTAAAAGGGAATGAATTCTGGTCCATCAACTCGCCAACTCTCTCCTGAAGGGTGTGAACCACCTCCGCCAGGATGAAGAGGTGTGTATCGTCAAGGTCCTTGAGGATGAACTTCTTTCCCAGGGCCATTTTTTCATCTAGATAGAGGAGGAACTGTTTCATGGCAGGATCACTGGTCCAGTGCGCAGACGGGAGCAAAGAGAAACAACTTTATAAGTCATTACAATCTGCGCATGTCATCATTTGAGTTTTATTTTGTTTAACAGCACACTTTTCATCAGAATTGCTTGACTTAACGTTAGATACAAACATTTCTGGGCAGATTTATAGGTTTCATTACCATTCAACAAGGACACCTTTGTGTACGTTGACCATGTTGACAGGCGAAGAGAAATCGGCAGTTGATGCCAATTAAAATCCTCAAAACCTGCAGCACAATAAATAAAGATGTGAATTTCTGGACTGTAAGCACGAGTAGTTAACGTAACAGGTAAACTCAGGACATACGTAATGTCACGTCAGAAAACAAACAGTCAAGTTACGTTAACATTAGTGTTTAGAGACGATTGCTAACCTAGCTTTTGATTTGAGCCCGGTTAGCTTGTTACGTTAGCTGAAAACCTCGGGGATATTCTGCTAATTACTGCGAGTTTTAAAATACTGAACAGAACAAGCTATCAATAAATATGTACATGCCTGGCTACATTTAAATGAAAGAGTTAAAGGGCCGATCTTTCACAAACCTGATAGCTGCGGTTGTTTCCTGTGCTAGCCTTTCAAAGTTTAATGGCACTGACTGGGGTGACATACGGTGGCTACAGAGGGACAATTTTCTGCGATCCAAAACGAGCGCATGCGGCATAAATATAGTTATTAATTGTGTTGATGTGTCATAACTTCTTCCTGTGGTTCCTCGCTGCTTGGAGAAAGCTGCATACTTGTATTTAAGTGCCTATTTGTACCATTCATAAAAATAGTTATACTAAATTTATCAATGCTGAAACAGTTATGATAAAATTCTTTATCACAATTAAGTACTTTTAATTGCTATATTATTACACAACATAAAAGTTTCTTAAATATATTGAGAAGCTGTTGATAGATTAATTAACCAATTTGGAATGTTTGCTTTTGGCCAATACAGTGAATTAATTGGACAAATAAAGGTGATTTTGAAAAAAATATGATTGTGATTATTTTGACTGATCTATCAATTATATGATTTAAGATGTTGAAGGGAACTTTATGCCATTATATTAATTTAAAAACATATTAAAATGATTATGGGTATTTTGAAGGGGATCTGTACCAAAAAAAGATGTTTTCTTAAATATGTAGAATATGATGTGTAGGCCAGGACCTCTGCACTTTTTACCTTTAATAAAGAATGCGCATTCTGTGATAAGAAAATTAAAGTAGGCCATATTGCGATTTCGATAAGATTTCGATTAACTGTTCAGCACTACATCACACTGATGCAATAATTATAAGTCTGACAGTACCACGAAGCAGTCATGCTCAATGATTTACAACACAATAGTGTAATACACCCAGAGATTTAAAAGCATATATACTAAAGTATAGAAACATCTACATTAGGCATATTTATAGTCTCACCGTTTATATGGTCACATTGCTTAAGAACAATGTCGTTTATTTCTTCAGTTTTACCACTGAAGGGGAAAGCATGGCATTGTATATTTCAGAACACTCAAGTATTAATATTGTAAAAAGAAAAAACACATTCAGATGTGCTATACATTGCAAAGCTGCTTTGAAATGACTATGATTCAGTGCATAGACAAGTCAAATAAAGCCTCCAACCTCATACATTTATTCATTGTCAGCATTGCTAGTGGCAATTTGAGCTTAGTCCCATAAATAAAGCAAACTGAATGAATATTAATACAGGTCCATTTGAGGTACAGGAAGGAATAGCCTATATTTTGGCAGACAATAGAACTATAATCCTCTAGTTAAATAAAATACATACATTTAGAAATAAATCTATCACTGGTCAAAATACTAAGGAACATAAATGGCAATAACATGTCAGTGCTTCTTTAATTAAATATAGTATAATGATAGACTAACCAGCTTAACATACTAAGTTGAAATGTAACAAAGTGCCTTAAAATAAAAGTTAGAATATTTAATTAACTGAACCTGTAAACATTGTTCTTTTAAAAATACAGAAATTTTAAAATTCAACAACTTTGCAGTGAGAAAGACCAATCTAATAGGATGACTAGGAAAACAAAATAAAAATCCCAGGTTTCTTTCATCATAACTGTCAATTCTTCACAAAAATCAATGTGTAAAATTAATGTAATTTCCCTAATTATGATATGATCACATTATGTGCAACAAGGAGAGGCAGTTATGTTTCCTCTTGGTTCAGGGGTGGGGTGGGTGACGGTGATTTCCTCCATTTCAAGTAAACATGTATCAGTGTTTGTGTTCATATATTTTAGTTAGTGGCTGATGTAGCTCTGCAGTGCTTCCTGGATAAACTGGAGGCTGCGCTTGTACAAAAATGAGTCCTTCTTCTCTGGCTTGCAGATGTTAAGATGATCTACGTCCACCTCGATGAGGTCCCCGATGCCGAGATCTGAAAGCAAACCGTAGCAGGCTCAAGGTAAATGGAAAAGATTACAGACACATAGATTTCAAGATCTATGCTCTGTTTGCTCATGCATTCGTAGTTAAGCAATACAAATCAGATAGATGTGTCTTATTTCCCACAGTCATTAGCGTTACATACTTGCTGACTGTGTCGGTACCACGAGTATCTTGATCATGGGTCCAATGTTTGTTGGCAGCTTCTCTGCAAAACTCAGCACCTTGAATTCCTTTTCTTTGGCCATGTTCAGGAAGTTCTCATTCAGGTTTCGCAGTGCTGGTGAGTCTTAAAAATACACAGACAACAACTCATAGTAGATATTGAACAATTTCTATTAAACACAAACAGTCTTGGATAATAAAAATTAAATCTATTCACTTACCTTTACAAAGTTCTCTGACTTCTATAGATGGAAAGAGGAGATATCTAACATTGACTGAGTACTCTGCCATAAAGGTACCGTGGTGAGGAACACTATAGAACATAATGCCCTTAGTGTTCTTTAACAGTCCACGCATATCTGGGTCCTCTGAGGCATCCAGCAGCATTTTCTTCACAAGCAATCCTGATGGTAAAATCAAACACAAGGGACAGACAGACAGGGCGCACAACTTTTAAATCAGACAAATACAATCACATGTAGGTGCACGGGTGAAATAAGACCAATACATTTGTTTTTCATGTTGTGTTCAAGGGATGAGTAAAAATCTGACATGCTTGTGGAAGGAAAGTTCTGACAAAATACCTCCCATACTGTGGGCTACCCAGACCACAGGCCTCTCCCCAACTCCTGCTAGCTTTAACTTCTTTAGCAGCTCTCGACTTCTGTAGGCCAAGGACTTCCTGAAGAGACAAAAGCATAGAATTAATCAACAGTCACTCATTCACTCTTTTGGAATTTTGTGTAATGAATACTGGAACATTTGGGATGATAATAAAGCATTTAATTTAATTAAGAATGGTAGCTTAATTAGCTTTAAATAGTCATGATGTTGGATAAGTTGTGCAAAGTATGAAGATTACTATTAGTAAATAAAGGTGTTAAGCAAAATAAATCTCTCCAATAACAGAGACTATTCCCATATATGCCCAGCCCTACAATATTTTATACTTAACAGCCAGTGAACTACAGATTCCTCACCTCCGATTCTCCGCGGGACAGTGGGCCATCCAGTCACTGAGGTGACTGTCATACTCCACTGATAGCACTCTCAGATTTGGACAGTCAGCAGCTAACCATGACTGCAAATAAAAGAGGACACAATAACAGTTAGAGATGATTAATTTTCCTGAAGAATAATCAAAATCTACATTAGACCACATATTTCATTGAACAAACTAGACACTATTGAGTGTCCCCTAAATAATATGCATTATAGAAGGAAAAACATGGATATACACCTCTATTACTACTCCAGAGTAATTAAAGGAAAGATTAGGTGGATCTTTCACCTTTGGCCAGCACTCTGTGTAGTCATCCTTGCTTTCAGCCTCCTTCTCTTCCTCTACCGTACTGGGATCCTTCTGCCTCCACGTCTTAAAAGCTGCCCCTAGAATCCCATGGATGAAGAGCACGTCTGCTTTGATTGGCTGGCTGGAAATTAACACATTGTCAAAGATAAGTGTGGGTTTACATATAAAATAAAATTAAAATTAATACATTTACGAATTAATTGTTTTCCTACTTGCCACGTGTTTGCGGGTGAAGGATATAGACACCATCTTGGTATTTCTCTTTCACCGTCTCCCTATCCAGGTTGGCCAGAGCGCGTGCTGCATGAGACGCCTGCATGGCATGAGGAGACTGCATCATCTCAGCCAGGACAGACACCCACCCTGAAGGGGTCATATAATGGGAAAGGGGGGGAGGGGGGATCCTTTTATAATCAGTTGTTGAGTTTTCATTTAATACAATTGGGACAAAAAGTATTAAGCATTAATGAAAAACAGAAACAATTTGAACCCTGCAAAGTATGTCTGGGTTGACCAACAGTTGATAGCTGTGGTGGTGATTATAATAATAAAAAAAATACCATCTGACATTTGAAGGATAAAGTCTATGTAATGGTGAAGATTAAATGTTCACCATTAAATAGGGACATGGAAAAATAGGCAGTAGAGCTTGTTTTTAACAATTCCTTAGTACACCCAGTCAAGATTACACATAACCAGAACTGTCCATGGAATAAATCAGATGAGTGGCAGATTTACCGGACCGGGCTATAGCCTGGTGAACGCTTTCATTGAGTGCCAGATTTCCTATTATGCGAACAATGTTCCTCTGAATCTTTAGGGAGTCTCTACGAAGCTGATAAATCCTCTGGAGGAGCTGCAGACCTCCACTGGCAACTATGTGGTCACAGTGGCTCTGGACCTGCAGACAAGATGCATTTCATTAAGTTCAGAACATTTATTCACCTTACCTAGCAACCAAAATCAACCACAGTCTCCACAAGAGTTAGTCCAACTCACTGAGATTGTTGTGTAGGTATGGAGCAAATTAACTGGAGAGATACTACTCGTTTCTGCTCAGAAAACAATGAAATTCAAAGAGTATGTTTACAAAAAACACTGTTCCATAAATACTTGCATGCTGACAAGATTAACTGATCTAAAACAAAAGTGCTTTGTGTTTTAAATTAGCCTTTTACTTTTAAATCTTGACTATGAACAAAATGTGCTGTTGAATGCACATCGGTGTGGTGTTTAATTGATAAATATCAGTTTAATAACTCCAGATCATATTTAGATGCTTGATGGCCATCATTACCTTTGAGTGCTGTACCAGTGCCTGTAGGTAGAAGGATTCCACCTTCTCAGAAGGAACAGAGGTGAGGCTCTGAGCGTAAGGCAGCCCATTACCACCAAAACACCACAGACCACCCTGTAACATAAGAGAGTGTACGTATAAAAAGGAGGATTTAAAGATTTGGATTTTAGAGAAGTTCATGTGTGAATCCGTCTTTCTGTCTCAGTTACCCGTTGTGCTGCCAAGGACTGGGTGCTCTCTCTGAGGGCCAGTGAGGTGAAGTACTGAACACATTTGTCCACCTCAGACTGAGGCAGAGACCCCAGCAGCTGCCTGAGACCATCCTCTGCTGACAAACCCTGTGAAGAAGTTAACACATCTAAGTTATCATCTTATATACAACTGTAACCCTTGTTCCCCGAGAAGGGGAACGAGACACTGCGTCGGTGACGACACTACGGGAACGCCTCTGGGCGTGGCAGGGCTGAAACATGAATGAAACTACTCCAATCCTATTGGTGTTGCTAGAACGGTAGCGTGTGACGGCGTAACTGGAGGCGTATATAAGCAAGCCGGCACAGAGGACACATTAGCCCTTTTCTATGAAGCAAGGCGCTCCAGGCGGGGTGAGGTGTGATGGACCGACGCAGTGTCTCGTTCCCCTTCTCGGGGAACAAGGGTTACATATGTACCCCGAGACGTTCCCCTTCGAGGGAACTCGAACTGCGTCGGTGATGACACTATGGGAACGAGACTACCCACTTAGGCCGCGCCGAAACCCCGCCTGCCCCCAGCGTGCAGCACCTGACGGCATGACTAGGAGGAGAGCGCACGGGTGCGGGGTGCAGAAGGAAGGTCCAGACTGTAGAACTGGATGAAGGTGTGAGGGGTGGCCCAGCCAGCCGCGTCACACAAATCCTGGAGCGACACCCTGCGAGGAGGGCCCTAGAAGCCGCCATGCCTCGAGTAGAGTGCACCCTTACGGCCATAGGTGAAGGTAACCCGTGCACCTGATAGGCCAGGGAAATAGTCTAAACAATCCAGTTGCTGATTGTGTGTTTGGAAGCGGGGAGCCCAGCCTTGGGGGACCCAAAACACACCAGCAACTGGTCTGCTTTCCTCCACCGGGAAGACCTCAGAGTGTAAATACTCAGTGCTCTGACCGGGCAGAGCAGATGAAGTCTCCCGTCCTCCGCCGTCACATGAGGTGGGGGATGAAACACCTGCAGCACCGTGGACCCTGCCAACCTGGAAGGGACTTTAGGGACATAGCCCGGAAAGGGGTGCAGGATGGCTCTGACCCTCCCCGGGGCAAACTCCAGGCATTGCGGAGACACCGAAAGTGCCTGGAGATCCCCAACCCTCCTCAGAGAGGTGATAGCGAGGAGAAAGGCCATCTTAAGGGTCAGGTGCTTGGCCTCAGCCTACTCCAGGGGTTCGAAGGGGGCCTCAGCCAGCGCTTCGAGAACCACCGCCAGGTCCCAGGTGGGAAGCCTGGACCGGGTCACGGGTCTCATCCTCCAGCTCCACGGAGGAAGCGCACGACCAGTGGAAGCCTCCCCAGAGGCCCATCACTCAGAGGGGTGTGGAACGCCGCCACGGCAGCCACATATACCTTGAGTGTGGATGGGGAAAGGCCAGCAGAGAAACGGTCCTGGAGGAACTCCAGTACCATAGTAACTGGGTACACCGCTCGTTCTCTGCACCAGGTGGCAAACACATTTCACTTTAGGCCGTACATCCTGCTCTGGAGCTGAGCAGCGTCTCGACTGTTCCTGCCGTGCGGCCCGCCTCCCAGGAACTGGGCCCCCTCATTCCCCGGGCCTCAGCCCCTGTCTCGACAGCAGGTCTGCTCTTTGATTCTGTGTCCCAGGGATGTACATTGCTCTGAGGGACAGCAGTCTGCTGGGACCACAGGAGGATCCGATGCGGCAGTTTTGTGTAATGGGCGCGAGTGCAGACCCCCCTGGTGATTCAAATAGGCCACCACTGCCGTGTTGTTGGTCCTGACAAGGACATGGCGACCGCGGAGAGAGGGCAGAAAACTCCTCAGAGCTCTGAAAACCACCAACATTTCTAGGCAATTTATGTGCCAAGAGAAATGATGCTCCTCCCAGGAGCCACTCGTGAAGCGGCCGTCCGTGACCGCGCCCCATCCCGTGAGTGAGGCATCTGTCGAAATAATTGTGGGACAGGAACCAAGGTTTCTTCCATACTGACAGAGAACAAAGGCACCTGCTCGTAATCTGTATCCGACGGAATGGATTTCCCCTTGGGGAGAATCCCTTGGATTTTAACCACCACTGCAGGGCTCTCATGTGCAGCAGGCCAGACGGGATTACGCTGGACGCTGCTGCCATGAGACCCAACACTCTCTGAAAGTTTTTCACAGTGATGGAGCGGCCTAGCTTTATCCTGGTTACTGAGGACACAATGGACCCGACGCATGCAGGCGACAGGTGGGCCCGCATCGTCATCGAGTTCCACACCACCCCTAGGAACGGGGTGTCAGCATGCTCTTCTTTGTGTTGAGCCGCAGCCCCAAACGCCGAAGGTGGGCGAGGACGACATCTCGATGCCGAACCGCTAACTCTCGAGACTGGGCCAGAATAAGCCAGTCGTCGATGTAGTTCAGTATGCGGATGCCCTGGAGCCTCATTGGGGCCAGAGCTGCATCCATACATTTGGTGAACGTGCAAGGAGAGAGTGCTAGGCCGGGAGAACCCGATACTGGTATGCCACGCCCCCGTAGGCGAACCTCAGGAACTTCCTGTGAGAGGGATGGATGGAGATGTGGAAATATGCGTCTTGTAGATCTATCGTGACAAACCAATCCTCGGATTGAATCTGACTGACGATGGCGGGGATGGTGAGCATCTCAAATCTGAATCTCCTCAGAGATTTGTTCAGGAGCTGTAGATCTAAAATCGGACGCGATCCTCCGTCCTTCTTGGGAACTATGAAGTACCGGCTGTAGAACCCGGACTCCCTGACTGGCTGGGGTATGCGTTCTATGGCCCCCTTGTTCAGTAGAGAGAAAACGTCTTGTTCCAACACCTGGCTCCGCCTGAGTGCACTGCAGTCCAGACCACCCCGTGGTCTTTCTAAACATGCCAGAGTGCCTGCTGAATAGAAAAGAGCTAATGTGTCCTGTGTGCCGGCGTGCTTATATAAGCCTCCAGTTACGCCGTCACACGCTACCGTTCTAGCAACACCAATAGGATTGGAGTAGTTTCATTCATGTTTCAGCCCTGCCACCCCCAGAGGCGTTCCCATAGTGTCGTCACCGACGCAGTTCGAGTTCCCTCGAAGGGGAACTCTTAATACACAAATGTAGAGCCCATGTTTAGTATAGAAACAAAGCATGTGAATGAGAGTGGTTTACAAGTGATATAGAGGTATTCCACATAATAGACTATTCTACAGAGATGAGATACTTACATCCTCCTGGTCAGGCAGTGCAGGAGTGCGCAGAAAGAACCGAAGGTCTACCTGAGGAGTCCGGGCCAGGGCCACTGCTGTTCGCTGGTCTATAATCTGGGCTGCTGTCTGGTACTGGTAGTCTGCGTTATTGACAACAGGTGTGAACTAATCCCACCTTACTTAACTTGTGTAAATGGTAAACCTGAAGTGATATGCAACAATCTTTGTGTATCTTACCACGCCAGTGGTGATTGTTTGCAAGGTCCTGTACAGCCTGTAGTCTGATGGCTTTATTGGCTGACTGTGTCCTCTTCAGTAAGACCCATAATGCCACCTCATGTGGGTCTGCATCCACATGGCTAAAGTGCTCTAAGACATACAAATAGAGAACAAACTGATGGGCTGAACATTTACAAGAACAAGTGGGTAAAACGGTGCTACAAATATTCTTAAAGGCACTACGGAATCACAGACTGGAATTCAAACTATATCTGCTGTGACTAACTACCAGTATCTACAATACCCCTTTCAGATTATTACAACAGCTAGGAAGTTACAAACCTTGTGGTTTCAAACCTTGTGTCATCAACTTGGCAGCTATTAAATTTTTTAAAAGTCAAAAGTTAATTTATTGATATCTTACTGGAATATAATTTCATAAAAAACATTTCTATAAACTCAAATCGCTCCAAAAGACATACATTATACATTAAAAGTAATGAATGATTCACACAGTGAATATAAAGGTTAACAAAACAATCATGTATTACAGCTAATTGCGCAATATACACATTAATGCAAAAATGTGACCTTTAAAACAGGATGTGCATGTACAAGGCAGGTGTTTCCTTTGGACAAAAATGACTGGGCAACTAGTTTTTTTTCTGAGAATAAATATTTGTGCTTCTATTAACAACACTGTCTGCTTTACATTCTTAGAAACAGGAGAGGCTGAGAGGCACTGCTGTTTCACACTGTGCACTTACAGTATGATTTTCTGGTACTGTATATTGACAACTTTTGGTCTCTTACCATCTAGGGATTGCATCAAAATCCTAGATGACATTTCCAGAAACCGCCTTACTGCCTTATGGAGTTCCCTCCTTGCTTTGTGTGTGAGCTCTGGAAAAGACGGAGTGTAAAAAAATTAATACAATGACCTAGAAAATCTGATTTTCATTTCTATAAAACACTACCAAGATAAATAAAGCAGTTTAATAATGGTTGCTAGTTGGTATCTCAGTAAAGGTTGGTAGGTGATTGTTTCCATTAAATAAGTGAACCTTGACCAGTGGAAGTGGGGATCAGTCAACAGACTGACCCAAATATGCAGGAGGAAAAGACAGTAGAGAGGGAAAGGAATGAAAGACAGGAAGTAACGATAACAGATGCCACTGGACATCTGAACATGCAAAGCTGTGTGCAGTTATAATCCAGCTGGTTTAGGAAGTAGGACAATGTCCAAAAACAATACACCTAATCGAAATCTCAATATAGCCTTATTCTTTTCAGTTTTGGCCTAGGTGAATGACATTTATTACCTGCAGTGCGGTTCTCCTTTTCATCGGAGGGAGTGGCTCTCAGATATATGTACGACTTGTACTTCTCCTGAAGAATTGCACCAGTGTTTATGGTCACAGCCTTGTCCAAGGCCGCCATTTCATAAGTGATAAAAAGACAGCCCCTGTAGAAAGGTAATGGAGAAGTTGTAACACAGTGATCGTTCTTTTCACACAAATTTGCAGCGATAAAATTTTACCATTGGAGATAAAAATTAAAATTTGTAATGTTATGTGATACTGTAACTTACCCCAAGACAACTGCACCAGTTACTTTAGCAACCTTCCCTAAATTTCGGTAGAAAAGGAAACTATATTAGGTAAGTCTGAAGCTCTTCTCCCAAAAGCATCAAGATTGATTCCATGTATGTACAGTTCTTAGGTCTGTGAAATTGCTGACAAAAAATGGTGTTAATTATGTGTAATATCTTACTTAAATCTTTCCACTGAAGCACTTTCTTCACTCCAGGCGGCCCAGCTGTACTCAGTCTCCGACAGCGGATCAAACGTAGAGCTGCACCAGACATCCTCCAGTATGATGGGGCTAAGTTATCAGACGACCAAAGAAGACTAACCACTTATTCAAATCGATCTCACACAAGAAATGTACATAGCATAGTCATACGTGTGGCCAGTGACACTTTTGCTAAAGCGAATTTAATGACAAGCACGTATATAATTGCCCTGGTACTTAAGCGAGCCACCTATTTGTGGCTGTAATGACCAAACAAGCGACAGCACTAACATTTGACTATAATCAGCCAACTAATGTAATGCATAAATCATTCACAAGTCCTCTAGCTAACGTTAAGTTAGCTAACTTTGCTACAATAAACTTGGAATAATTACTTCAGTTGCAACAATAAGTCTGACCGCATCATTCAGCTTACACTACAGACAGCCCTTTGATACTCAGCGTTAACATGAACACTGCAGTAAAACTGTAACAACTAATGTTAAATTAACAGTTAGCTAACGTCAACTTACTGAAGACTTAGCATTTGGCTAACGTTTCACTTTTAAGAGTTTACCACCAGCTTACTAACGCTACGTGTAGCCTGTCCAGTTCACTGATTAAGATACACTGTTCGTGCGGGTTAATTCTTTAATTTTTGAACGTTGAACGAGTGACATTACCTTATTTATCGACTGAGAAGTCTTAAAACGACGACCGCAATGCTCCGGTGTTCAAACACAACACAAACTTGTCTCACAAATAATACGTCATCGACCGTAACTAACTTAAAAAATGAAACCAAAATATTTAAAATGGTATCAGACAGACACTTTATGTAATAGGATGTGTGACTGTGTGTTGGGAACATTTTTATTAATTCGACATGCAATAAAATATCCGATGAATTATGTGTTTTTGCTGGTAGGAGGGCGGGTCTTCCTTTCTTCTTGCGAAGCTCAAACTTTACTGCGGTGTTAAATACCAGTTCCCCTTTCAGGAAATAGTGACCAGACTGGACATAGTTAGTAATAGGTCTGCGTAAAGGGCGTAGACAAAATAATAAAACACATGGAGTCCAATACAACAACCATGCAATAAATACAAACTATCATAATGATTATGTTCACAGAAAGAAGTGTTGATGCCAGTGGTATTGAGTGGTTGACATGAGGCTGTAATTTGTGTTGGTGTATTAGATTGCATTGTATTGGGTATTTATTTTATAAGGTGCACAATACAATGTTGTAAATCAAGACACAATCTCAAAATACGATCATTTACAACACACAACTACAGAAATGGAGCTTCTCTAAGTTAGTATTTATTTGGACAACTACTGTATTGGGTTGCAACATTTTACAGGTGTTCATGTTATTATGTCCATATCTTGTGTTACCTTACTTTTTGCTAGCAGACACACCACATCCTTGGTATGGAAAACTCAGTTGTCATGATTTTGATTCTTGCTTTTATTGCAAACGTATGAGCAAAATTCAGTAAACTACATTCACATATGAAATACAAAACCTTCTGTCCACCTTTGTGTCTCCCTCTCTCACGCTCACACACACTGTACATGCAAACACACACAGACACACTAAATTACACAGTTTTGAAAAAAGAAACATTTAAAAGCTGGCTGTTTTGCATTACATATACACCTAAATGACACATCTCTAATTTACTAATTACAGGTTAAGACACAACCACTCGCTTTCTTTTGGGGTACGCTTGCACACTAATTCTCTCTTTTGCGTAGTTAGATGATCAGCAGGAACAAAGGAGAAGTCTTGCCTTGTAGCATAAATGCCCAGTCATCAGTATGTATTTGAAGATTCTCACCTTGTCGAAATTAGAAAAGGGTTTGTGCAAGCATACGCAAGTGTCAAACACACCAAAATACAGATTGCTAATATTTAAGAGGGATTTTCCTTTCATAAGCAGCAATTGGCATATTGCTGAGTGTCAAATTACTGTTTATAAATAATTCAGTATTGAATGATAAAAGGCAAGTATAATACAGATATATTAACAAACCAAAAGACATACAAAACGGATTGTTGTTTCAGAGTATTATTCTGTTGAGCAGGGTACACAATTGACCTTGATGTCCTTGTTTGCTCCACTCTGCTCCACCTTGTCATATAAATCAATACAGATTTAGTCCAGTATTATTTGTAAGTCCATTTACAACTCTCGGTTTAGTAAGAATCAGCCTGGTGCTCTCACTCCTCTCAGGTGCGTGTTTCCTGATAAGCTCTAATAATGCTCTCATAGGCTGGAGGTGGGGTCTGTGTAGCATGGAAACCCCTCAGGCTATTATTACCCCAAAATGTTTCTGGTCTGGGTGGGGTGGCAGCCGGCTGGGCTGCTGTTTGGGCTGATCCAGTCGACGTGGTCAGAGTCGGTGTACGAGGCAGCGTGGTCTGGCTCCCCTCCTCTGCTTCCCTTGCAATTTGGCTGCACTGGAGGAGAGGGTGGAAGGTAGAGGCCCTGAAGCTGGATTTGTGCCCCAGTGGATCGAGGTGATCTGGGGAGGAAGTCTGGCGGTGGAAGCTGAAAGCAGCACTGACCAAACTGTTGTTGCTACGCCGGTCGTAGCTGCTGTTGCGGTTAAAGCCTGGACGGTTGCGGGGAGATGTGCGTGATTGGCGAGGAGGGCGGCGGGTAATGCTGGCAGAGCCTGCTCTGCGTCTGGACATCCAGATCAAGACCACATATACGAGAGCCCCCAAAACCAGGCCCACCGCCATGGAGACACAGAAAGCTATGATCAGAGGGACTGTGAAGAGAGAAGTGCATATGAAAAAGGATATTTTCTGAAATCTGCTTCAATATGATATGTCCTTCACATACATTCCCTATATACTTGGTTTCTACGTGATTAGTTTTATTTTTGGCTCTTATGCCCCATTAACTTGTTTACTCTTTAGGTTCACTTTGAGGCACAATTGTTTAATAATTGTTATGTACATGCTATACATCTGAATGCACTTTAGCCTTAATAAACATTTAGTTTTTATGTATTTTGTATCATCGCCTGGGAATGTAAGGAATTTTAATTTCGACTCTATGCCCTTACCAAGATTACAAAAAACATCTGTTTGGAACAAATGGACAATTGCCAACAGTGTCTTGTAAGATGGTGCCCCTTGACAAAATAACAACAGGCTTTCCTCTTTAATGTTTACCAGAGCAAGCAGACATCAAACTGACGTCAATTCATTCCCTCAAAAAACACACTGACTTTATGCTCATTGCTACTTTTCCTTGCAAGTAGTAGTGCCAACATAAGCGCGCTTGAGAGAATGCAACAGCTAAGACAAATCCTGTTGGACTGCTGCCAGGGAAAACAAATCAATATCCTTTCAATACAGTTATAAAGCCTGAACCTTCTCTGCTACCAGCCCATATTTCCACAGCAGTTGTTTTCTCTAACTCTGGGAAAAGGGAAAGGAGACCCTGGTTAAAAGTCATCTGGAAATGAAATTAGGGAAAACACTTAAGAAAACACCATATAGATTTAAAGCAAGTATTTGTAAAACTTGCAAAAAAAGGGGTATCTTTGAACATTCTAATTTGTTGGCTAACTAATCTTCAGAAGGAATCAGGACCACATATTGTATGACTTGCAGAGGTGATTAAAGCTTGAATTCCTGATAGAACAACAGTGCCAATCAGAGAGACCGCAGGAAAAAGACCAGCTAAAAGAGAAGGGAAGTTAGAAAAAACTCACCAGCATCAAAAGACTGAAGGATTTCCAGAAAGATATTTGTGGTGTTCTCGGCCATGACTTTGTTCTGTTTTGTTAGAGAAGAAGAGAGACTGATAACTCAATTCAGTCTATTGTTTACCCTCTCTTCTTCTTTCTCCTATTCTTCTGTCAACTCTTGCCTGTCTCTCTTTTCTTCTGATGGATTTTCCTTTCTGCCTACACTCTTTCCTGTTCTCTCACTTTCTCTCTCTTTTGTCCCTTGCCCACTTTCTCTGTCTGTATGTCTGTCTCCCTCATAGCGAGACTCAGCCCAGAGGCACACGGGACTGGTGGCTAACTCTGGCAGTAGTCTTGTTTATGGAAGCGGAAAACTACACTGTCACATTTCCTGCTTTTCTGCTTGAAATTAGCAACAGGAGTGGCTTATCTATTCAGGACAGAGATCCTGGAGGTGGGGAGACGGGGTGTTGCTATAATCACTTCCTCCCCCATCCTTTCCTTCACGTTGATTCATGTAAAACAGTATCACCCCAGCGCCGTAAGACTCAGTACTTAACCTGTCACCATAGGAAAACCCACCACTTTTACCAATATTTTTTTTCCTTTTAACAATGATAAATATTTCAATCTCTCATATTTTTTCCTTTCGCCACAGAGACCATGGGCGACAGTTTTGCAATAAGCTGTACCAGCAATTACAGCCCTGTGTCTGAAATTGCTGTTGAAGGGAAAAACCACAGCTGGAATTGATGGTGGCAACACTGTAAGTGCTTTTAATACTCAGTTGTAATGATGCAAAACATACTACTCTGCTGCATTTTTAAACAGACTGTGAGCATGTGGATTTCTGCGTTTTCTGATTTCCAGCATCTTTTTAAGTAAGCTCAGTCTTTCCACTGTGTCTGCCAGCTCAGCAGTGCCTGCATTGGACGTCTCGTACTTTTCTCAGTTGGAGGGATCCAGTAAAAACATTGTAGTTTGATAAGCAGCACAGCTACTCTTTCAGTGTACCAACATTTTTTACTTTCTACATTCTACCAATCAGGACAGTGAATGTAAATAAATCTCATGTTACTCATTGTTGATCCCACAGACAGCATTGTTTTTATCCACTCCAACCCAAATCTGCAAGGCCATCAGTCAGATGGTCAGAAGGAAGGATGCGAGTAGTCATATTGGTATGCATCTAATGTAGACCAGCCCATTTGCCCCATCAGTTTGGGATTTTACTTTCCATAGCTGATCATAAACCATCCTTCACCTTAAATTCAACCTCAGCATTAATCAAGTCATCTATTTGTCCCATCCAGTTAGATGAAAAATTATTATTTCCTGACAGAATCTTATGTGTGCCACTGAGATGGCTGAAAGCTGTTAACGTCTTAGCATAATAATATAAAGAAAGAGAGAGAATCGCCGGACCAAAGCTTGAACTTCCTTTAATTGTTGGCTCTGCTGTAAAACCTGTTCAAAATAACCAACAAACACCCATTACACTAATAATAATATGTGTGGCCATTGTGTTCTGCTGTAGAGTAATTGGAGTGTGCTCTGCTCATAGGTGGAGGAGGCATTCTTTAAGGTTCATAGCTTAAGTTCATGGCTTTTGAAAATGTCATTGGGCACAGTGGTGGGAAAGTACAGTGTGCAGTCCTTAACTTCATAATAAGGAAATTAGGTTTCTGTAAGGACTTCAAGTTTGTTGGCAGCAACAAAGTTTGTTGTGTTTTACAAATTATACAGAAATGTAAAGAGTTTGTAGAATTTGTAGATATCTTATCAATCAGCTAAACAGTAGCTTTTCTCAATGTGCCATTCCAGAATAGCACTTATGTATAAACGATAAAGATGTTATAGGAGGGAAAAGAGTTAATTGAAATGGTATGTTTTTTTCTAAATATAAATAAATATTACTCTGGTCAGTATTATTT